AATACGTATGTAACTAAAAACAATATTTCTTTGTTACTTGCTCAAAAAATTAAAATTTAAATTTTCATATTTTTAACAAAAAAAAAAAAAAAAAAAAAAAAAAATAAATTAAAAAAATATTAAGGTGTGTTTTAAACCCATCCTTTTTTTTTTTTTTTCTTGTACATCGAACGAAAGCCACTAAAACTCAGAAGGATAACTGACGGACTTAACTTGTATGACGTGTCCCGGGAAATAAAAGTTTTACTTTCGTGATAAATGATTCAGCCTAATCTCACCTTGACGAGTCCTTGGAAAGAACGAAGGACCCATCGAGCACCATTTTTTGTTTTTTGTTTTGCTCTTCCATGCCAATATACTACAGAGGTTTTGGCCTCTGTTGTTAATTGGTTCCGATATAAGAAACATTGGGACATATTTTTGTACATTATGGCGCTTTTACTCTTACGATGACTTCCACGCCCAGATTGTCCAAACGTTGTGAAATGTCACCAAAAGTCTACCCCGCTGGCAGAGGTTTCTTTCCAGTATGCCTGTAAGCACTTGTTACGAAGTCCTTTTCGTCGCTGACATTCCAGTAGATGGCTTGTTAGCTTACGTAACTGAACCAAGCCAATGAAGCGAATATCAGCGACTGGTGGAACAACTTCATAAAAGCTAAAAACCATGCGGGAAAAAAACGTCTCTGCTAGCAAGGTACCAAAAGTCCTTCTTAGCACTGCAAACTAAAACAGACAACTTTGTTCAGCCGAATTATGTAATCGTTCGACAAATCGAATCATAAGAACATGAACTATATCATAACTGAAAACAAGTGAATATCTATCAAGGCCATCCACAAGCCAGAATTCCAAGTAACCTAAATGTCAATATTTTCCTTCTGTTGACTTCTGGATAAAGTTTGATATATATCACTATGGAGGCAAGAAGCAAGCTAGAGTTTTAACTAAAAAACGTCGCATGAGACCCTCTGAAACCATGTATTCGAAACGCCTACACGTTATTAGTTCGACTGCAAAAAGCGCATTCTAATGCGCAGCCGGTGTCAGACGGCTTTTTATAAATTATTAAATATGATCGGTTCGGCAAGGATTGTTACAAAAAAGGGTTTCTATGTGGTAAAACACCCGTGTATATACATTAAATCAAATAAGCCAGTTCTTTGAAAAAGACTTCATATTGGTCACTGACAAACAATTTGGATCTCAAACAACATTGACCAACAATATTGATCAGCTATCAGCGGCATAAACAAATTGTCTTGTAGAATCCAGTCTGAAGTTAACGAATTCACTGCCCAGTTAGACTTTTGACTCAAAGGTTTCATCATTGTGGTAATCGTATGATAGCAGCTATTAACACTGCAAAAATCAAAAATTGTCAGATAGAAGACAAATTGTTGTTGATTCTTGGTCACGTGTCCTTGGCTAAAATCGAATGTATCCCGATCGTGATACATTAAACAATGTATCCGGCTCGGGATACATTGCAGCACGTGATCAAAGCATGGTGGAAAGTGGCGTGACAGAAAGCGGGAAAAACACCGCCAGGTCCTGCCAGTTTTCTTTTTCGTGAATGAACACAACAACACAATCACGAAGCCTCAAGCTTAAAAGCAACGATTTTTAAAGTTATCCCAAAAGTTCCCAGAAGAAAAACAGCAGCTAGTGGAGGAAAAAGATGCAGATAATATAAGGAAAGTACTTCTGTTTGTAAATCATTCATTCAGTGGTTTTGAGAATAAAATTTGTGTTGTTATAAGTACCGAGTCGACTGTTTTGGTTCGTTTTCGTTCGCTCCGGTTATTCTTTTGTTGCTGTTGAAGTGAAAGTCTAGAAATATAACAAAACACTTAATGTCAGATCCCTCGGGAAACCAGTTAGTTTTGTTTTCCCTCGAGTCCTGATGTTTCCCTCGACTTCGTCTCGGGAAACATCAGGACTTTCGGGAAAACAAAACTGTTTCCCTTGGGATCTGACATTAAGTGTATAATATGTCAAGAAACTCTATTAAATGAAAGAAAGATCGTGTGTCAGTGACGGATGAATTTTTGGACCACTCTTTGCATGGGACCATCGAGTGTATGCTACCAAGAGATGCTGAATATGTTTGCTTCTATCATATAAATGAACAGTATACCTAAAGAAAACTCTGTCAAAGTTTGAAAAGATTAGCTTTCGGATCCCGTGATTGGATGGAATGTATTAACAACTGCTCTTTTGTTTGCTTGATCACACACTCTCATAAAAACACTCTCAGTGAAAGAAATAGTACTGAACTTCCTCACAAACAAATAACTATACGTTAAATGTTAATAAAAATGTATTTGAGACGAAAAGAGACAAGACGAGATAAAACACCGGGTAAGATGGAAGAGATAATCAATATTATAAGCTCAGAGCTCTCGAGATTAAGGTACATTTTAAATAACAGGCTGAGCATCGTTAAATTGGTCCAACAGCAATTATAGCTGCTTCAGAGCTGGTTAGAATGCTTTTTGACGACATAAATTGGGAAATAAAAGTGGTGACAGTAGCATAAACCTTATGGGAAGAATTGTGTTCTAATAATACTTGTGTATAGTACTTGTTCAGAAAGTCGCGGCTGTACTGTTTTCAGGAAAGAGAATCATTAATTTTTGCTCTGAATTTGCGGATTGACAATTCAAGGCAAGTTACGTTGCTTCCAGTTTTTGAAGCTTGTAGACTAGAGACGTTGTTAAGATGTTTATGAATAGTCAGGCACCAAGTTACTTGGTGAACACGTTTCAAAAGAGTTCTGAGGTTCTCAAGTATAATACAAGGACCTAATAACAACTTAGGTTTAAGTGAGCTGTAAGATGCGGTTTGGAACAATTTCTTCAGTTCTGATTTTGAAACTTCGGACCAGTTGTCCACGAGACTTTGGCTACATTAACCTTTCATGTTCAAGGCCGCCTAACAATCGCCTATAATCCAAGAGCATTTATTAACGCGCTTTCATTTGTATGAAATAGATTCAAATAATACCATTAAAAAGTTATGCTAAAAGTTTCTTTTGATGGTCAAACCTTTGGATTTAGCTCACATACTTTCTTATGTAAGTTAGATTTACACCACACCCACTTTGACGAGTCCTTGGAAAGAAGGATCCATCACGTATTTTTTCTTCAATCCCTGCCAATATACCACAGATTCTTCGAAGTTTTTCATAAATCAGCTCATCACAATAACAGAATCATTGGGACATGTTTTTGTAAGAGACTAGCACTTCCAATCTAAGAGACTTCTACACACATTTGTTCAAACATCCTTGACCATCACCATTGAGGACTATACACTAAACCGGACGATCCTGATCGACCAAATTATGACAATTTGAAAATAACTGACAGATAGCTGCATGGAGACATTAGAACATCAACAATATCATGAACTACAGGCAAGTGCATAGCTTATCACAGCCAGCCACAAGAACATTCCAGACAACCTCACTGACAATATCTTTTTTCTGTCGACTTCTGGATAAAATCTGTTATTAAAGACGTTTGCATGTTCTTTCACCTCGCCGATCACCATACAAGTAGGAAGCAAGTTATAGAGCTTTGAACGTTCGTGGAATCCCTCCGTGAAACTAGCGAAAGCGTTGAAATCGAGGAGCCTTCACGCAGCTAATGCAATCTTGCTTTTGGACGGGCATATATAATTAATTGAAATGCTTTTGCCACGGATTGTTATAAAAACAAACTGATTTTTATATGGTAAGCCACATTTGTGTACAAAATGAAAACGAATCAGCCAGAATGTGAACAAGACTACATATTAATTAATTACTAAGAGACAATTTGGATCTCGCCAGCGTGTAAAACAACATCAACCATGCCATTCCCGGAAAAAAAAAAAAAAAAAAAAAAAAAAAAAAAAAAATTCCTTCACAAAAAAGAATTTTTAACACAATTAAGGCCGCAGTTCTAAACAATAGTAATGATTTTTGGCCCATTTTCTGTTTAAGTAAAATTTTTTAAACAATTTTAAAAAAAAAGGAAAATCATAAACCAAATATTATTTTTTTTTTAATTTTTTTAACTTTTTATTTTATTTTTTTTTAAAGTTTGGTTAAAAATCATTTAAAAATTTTTAAAAAAAAAAAAAAAAAAAAAAAAAAAAAAAAACAGAATTCCTTCACATAAATGAATTTTTTACTCTATTGAGGCGCCAGCTGCAAGCATTCGTAATGGATTTCGGCCCAATTCAGCTTTGACTAAAGCTTTTTGACACGTTA